GAGAGATGTTTTGCTTCCCTGGTGTCATTTATCCTCTGAATGTGATATTAAGATATTCTGACAAGAAAACTTGAGAAGGTTTTATTCTTATCATAGTCATTGTTAATGCAATCATAAAATAATTCAACTTAAACTCAAGGATGAGTAAGTTCTTCCCTTAACCAGTGGTCATCACCCTTTTCAAGCCCAAGGTCACTTTTTAAACGTAAGCCGAGATCTACCACCCCGACATTTTCCAAAAAGGGTTACATTTATTATTTCCTGTTGTTGCAGTGTTGTTTCTGTTTTTACTGGTGCTGCAACAAACATAGTTGTACTCGCTTTAGAACACTTTTAGGACAATGTAAAGAATAAAGTTGTTCATTATCATAAATGATTTAAGAAATGTCAACATTTATGTTTCTTTTTCAGCTACCTCCTGTAAAACCACATTTTTTCTGATGTAAATTTAAAGCATAAAAGTTTAATTGTTTGTTTGGCATGCATGGACTAGACTGACAGATTGATTTATGTATTAAATATCTTCAAGCAAGTCCAGATACATAATTCACCTCCCTTGGATATATGATGCAAGAACACACACCAGAAACAATTATAGTATAAAAACCATGAGGATAATTTTATTTGTCTTTGTACAAACAATGGCTTCAGTAGATCCGCACACAATATTGTACAGTGAAGATTACAAATGAGTCAAAATTCTGTAACAATCCCAGCAAGAGAGAACAACGTGTAATGATGCACAAACACACACACACGTTTCTGAGTTATCACCTAAACAGGCAAAGTCTGAGGCAATTCTGTCAACAGAATTAATTCAACTCAAAAGACATGCTTCATAAGATGATGGAAAAAATATGATAGAAAAAAACTACAGAGACATTCAAAAATTAAATGCTGAGCAAAACAATTCAAATATGAAACACACGAGCAGATTTGTACAAAAATACCCTGTATGATTCATTTACATTGAAATTACATACAAATCAACATGAGATTTAAAAAAATTAAAAACCATGACCATGCATCTCAGAAGGAAAGCTACCTTTTCTTTTTTTTTAGTTGTTTTGTGAAATCCTATTTTATTTTGGCAGCAATAAGTGGCAGATACAGGAAGTTGAATTGAATCGAAATTGAATTTCTTAAGACTGAATATCTTGGTAAAAGTGCAAATCATCACTTGTGGTAAACACATGCAGATTGACATCATGTTTGTTCATTTTTAACACCCCCCCAACACACACACACAAAACACAAGTTATCAGAAAACATTTTGAACTTGAGTCTACAATTGTGTTAACCATGCAGATTGTAGACATACACGCTGTCAAGAGTTCAGATTTCAACATGTCCAGACAAACAGTTACAAAAGGTTTATGTACAAACACAAAGAAAGACACGGCTGATAAAGACCGAAAGGCAGACAGACATTTTTTTAAAACAAACAAATATTTTGGGGATGTAATCGAAATAGAAATTCAAAAACGAGAGACCCCCAAGGAGCTGACAATCCCCATTTTTATTATCTTCATAACATTTTCATATAAATCTAAATTCTATGCAACCATGACTTTCAAAGCATCGAGCCATAATCTTATCCATTGTCCATTAATATTGTAAACAACCATGTAAAACATGACTCCCACCAGAGACACAACAGTGTTCTCCCACATACATCTGTAGCCCTTGTCTCTGTGGTTATTACTCTTCATTAAAAGAGCAAAGTCTTTGAATAAAGCATTGAGGCTGATAAATATTGGATGCGTGTGTATTATTGGAGGTTTGCATGCTTGCAGCCGCATATATAATATGCATGTGTGCCTGCAACACACCATTCAGTGTGATAAGGGAAATGAGAAACATAATTTCCCCCCCTTGGATTTTGTTATGTTGCATCTTGTGACTCATAAGCCTCTTGCATCAAAGCACGTCACAGCCACCACCTGCATCTCTTCAGTCCCTTTTCATCGGAAGATGCAAATTGGTGTGTGACCCACAAACGCTGACAAACCACGTCAATGTCAATGTCCACCAGGAGAGACGCGACTTGTGGACGTTATGAGCAAATTGTCCATGATTAGAACATTAAAAAAAAAATCCACTTGAGGTTTCCAGTGTTCAAACACATCTCTTCATTTATTCCAATCTCCTCCTTTATATGATGATGGATGAAACATCAATAGTTGTCCATCGTCAAGAGACGATTGCAGAGAAGGAAAGACAGATAAAGAAGAGAGAGACTGAGAGAGAAATGAAAGAAGCTCGCCCGCAGTCGTTGGCATTCTCCTACACGGATGAAAAAGAAAATTATTTCACTTTTCAACTCATTTGACAAAGAAGGAATTATATTTTATCATGTGTCAAAAAACAATTGCATGAAAGTCTGAAAAAGTTTTGAAACAAGTCAACATTTTGCACAATGGCTGTAGATGAAGTTTAATTCCAGAGTGGAATTCGTGAGTGGACCAATGAGAAGCTGACCTGTGGATGGTAGGCATGGCAGGACTCAGGCCGCCTGCGAATCTTCTGCGACCTCATCCTGTCACACTTTACTGAGGCGTTATGTACAGCGGGGTCAAGGAGCAACAACGAGAGCAGCAGGGGTTTCTCATGCGTTCTCATTCATTAACAACAACAACAACAACAAATATAAACTACATATTTCACACAGTCACCAGGCACACAACTGGTACAACTAAAATCAGTTCAGTGAGTGATCCTGTCCTTGATGCAACATCAGCGACTGTGCCTGTTTTTTATTTTCATCAAGGTCCATGAATTATTCACTGTGAAATTGGTGAAAATGTCAAAAAAATGGCTTAACTCGCTACTTTAAAGACAGTGATGAAAGAATTCCCCAGGTACCTGACAAAATGTAATGGTTCTTTCTTGGCCCAAGTCCCATCCTTCCACCAAGTTTTGTGGAAATGACCTCAGTAGTTTTTGTGTAATCCTGCTGACAAACAAACAAATAGACAAACTGACAAGGGCCCAAAAACAAACTCTACTGCAGAGGTGAAAAGGATATATTTGACTTCCTTGGGCTCCATGGTGATGGGACTGTACTGTCTGGAGCAGTCACAGTCTGCCTGAACCACCAGCATCAAGAGGTTGCTGTCTGGTATCTGATGCACCACAAACATCCTAGAGCACACAAACATGGAGAGATGGGTGTGAAAATGTGACACAGATACACAGACAGAAAACCTCCCATGTCGTGTATGACATGAACACATTTGCAGTCGGGGGTATCCAGCAGGAGAAGAGACAAAGTTTGCAATTACGACAAAAACGACAACAACTAAACAAAAATATGTTTACACATCAATGTATGGGTCATATCTCTGTGGATAATAATAATTAAACTGTCAGGATCTTGTCGTGCACAGGATGTGTTACACCTCTTTTGGCCTCACAGGGGCGCTAACTCTCTATGAGCACAAACCTGCTGAAACATACAAACTAACCACAGTGTTTCTCTCCATGTTTCTGTTTTTCTCGCTCTCTTTCACAGAAATATATACAGCGCTTATTCTCACTTTCTCACCTCTTCCACTTCTGTTTCCCTCCCACTGTTCTTCAATCTCTTTTTTTTTGTCACCCACTGCTCCCCCATCTCCCCTTACCCGCCTCTATACTTTCTCTCAGTTTTCCAGTCTCCCTCACCGTCCATACGCTTCTTGGTCTTTCTGTAACCTTGTGCACCCTGATCTAATTCTGTTCCTTTCCACTTATTTCCCTGTACTTGATACTCTTGCATAAACACACTCCGCTCTCAGTATGCAGAGCAGAGCAAAGCCGTAGAAAATGGAATTTCGAGGGACAATTTAATATGGCTGATCTGGGGCTTAGAGAGGAGCGCATAGTTGATTTGTGTGTGTGTAGTGTGTGTAGTGTGTTCTTACTTCTGGCAGCGTCCACACTTAATAATGCTGTTGGTCTCTTTGACTGACGGCTCATAAACGAAGCTGGGGTACTCGGTGTCACACGGCTGCAGGATGTCCCCTTTTTTCTTATGAGCCGAGGCTAATAGAGAAATGGACAAGGGTCATGTCTCAAGGTTTGGAATATGGATTGGAGTGTGTGTGGCAGTGTGACATTTTGCTGGTGACTGACAGGCAGGCAGAACTACTATTTAAATTATTCTTACTCTCAGAGGTCCTCTCGCTTGCTGTGTACTCCAAACAAAATTGAATAAGGTGGCTGCCTACAGGCAAAATTATTTGTTTGAAAGCTGAAAGGAGACATAATGGCTTGTCTAAATTTCCTGTCTGGTTGTGATCGATTTTTCATTTATTTAAAGTTTTTAGAAACCACCCTGGGCTTAGTTCTTAATTTAAAGACTTTGCCAGTTGTGCTTGTTCTCAGACAAATCAAATTTTATTTTGTTTGGAGAATACAACAAAGACTACAACTTACATAAAAACACAAAATGCTCAGATTCTCCTTAAAAACACTGCATCTCAGATACTCACACACGCTGAAAGATGGCTTCGCTGAATGGAGGGATGATGATGGTGGTGATTGGAGGAGCAGATGATTGACAGTTGGAGTGATGAGGTGGGTGAATGTGTGATCGATGCAGAGACAGACGCAGATGAGAGGTGAGGGGATCACAGGACACTATGACCTTCAGACTGATGATCAATACTGCAAACACTTTAAACACTCCTGCTATCGAACTGACACAACATACACTTTTGCCATTGCTGCAATATGTTTGTGGGGACTGTCCACAGACAGTGATAAAAATGAAATATGTTTTAGTCAGTGAAATGTTGACGGTGACATTTGTTCAGGTTAGATTTATGTTAATATTTAAATATAAGAGTTAATTGGGATCTTTTTTAGAGTTAATTCAAACCCTCTGGAAACTACAATCATTAGAGAGAAATCAGGTGACAGGACTTGTGTCTTTCGGTCCAATATGCCAAACTGAATGATTTATTTTAGTGTCTGCTTATATAAACAATGTTTTGTTGAAACAAAAGATACCAAACATTGGTACGGGAAATGGGAAGTATGTTAAGGCAAAATAAAAACCAGCCACCGGACTCCTGAAGGTTCAAATCAATGACGATATAGATTCTATGTGCATTATTTATGTAGAACTGGTTGATAGGGTTATGATGATTTACATAAATAAAATAGAATATATTATATGTTTATAGAAGTACATTTGTAATTAAGATGCACAGAAGTAGAGTTCAACCATAATTGGCCACATTTTTTTCTCGTAAGCTCACCATCAGCAAAATGCTCCGTGTGCCAGAAGCCACAGATATTAAACTCCAGGAGGAACCTTGTGAAGGAGAGAGGAGAAAGAGGAGAGTGGACAAAGAGAGGGGAGTCAATTAGGCAGCCTTCATTATAGGCCGAAGCAGATTGCAAGCAGATTGCATGCAGCTTTCACAAACTGGGCCAGGACCCAAAGTTGTGCTGTGGGAATATTAAAATGGGTCCCCAAGTTATTCAGCAGTAATTGGAAGCTTTGTCTTAACTGGATAACTCCTCTAGTTGTTTTTAATGAAGATGCTGGATGTATCATATGACTTCAGCCTCACCAAGTCACAGCAGTAAAAACTCAAAAGGTTCTTCTAAATAAGTAGGTGCCAGATTTCTAACCTTCAGCTGCTAAATGTACTTAAAGGGAGTAGAGGGATATTTTGCACTTAATTGCTTTGTTGCCCTGAGATTTAGACAGTTGATATAAAAGTGCTGTCAGCAGCACGTTAGCCTAGCTTGCATAAAAATTGGAGACCCAAGGACACAGACAACCTGGCTTTGTCCAAAGTGCACAAAACACACCTACATACAGCTCATTAGTGTTATGCTCATAATGTTATATGATATATGGGTTTCCATTGGGTTCCCCGGCGTTGTGCTAAGCTAACTCACTGCTGCTGGTGGCTTCATATTTTCCATACAAACACAAGGACGTATTCATTTTTGTGTAACTCAACAAGGTAATTGATCTTTTCCTGTAACATTTTTGACTAGTGAAGTAAATAACTACTTTGTAATGTAATGAGGGTATAATAACCTATACATATACGTTACATCTCTTTATCCGACAATATATATCACACTAGAAAAATAATTTCACTGTTGGTTGGTATTGTTGTATTGGTACAGAACAAAATTAACAGATTTCCACTTTATGCTTCGACTGGGGACAGCCATTGCTGTTTGCCCCTAGCAACACTTACAGAAGGAAGTTGGACAGGAACCACTTGAGTGCTGAAGCCAAACCATAGAACGGCTGAAGACAGAGATGGATGGATTACAGATTACAGTACACTGCAGAGTTGAGTGGAGCTTTATGGAAAATATCAGCATTCACACAGATTGAGTTTATTGTACATACACTGAGAAGTGGACGAGCGCTGCTGACAGAGTGCAAGTTCATCTTACACATGGCCTGGTAGTCGAACAAGGACACCCTGAGGAAACACACACAAAAGCGAATGGTGTTGCTGTATTTGACTGACATTGATTTCTTGATGCCTCGTCTCCAGACCATTACACTCAGTACGGCTCAGCTCAACCTTTGTAAAAAGCCTGATTCACTTAGAAAAGAAAAAAACCCATCTCCATGCTGAAATGTATCTCAGTGTTTCGACTTATTTTTGTTTTTCTTTCACAGGTGAGTATTTTTAATCTTATGCAGGTAGAAGCACAAGAACACATAAATACACACGCGCGGCTTTGCAGACGTATGCATATACGCAACAAACGCACACATACACACAGCCAATGAAGTTCATGCATGCTCAGAGCCACTTATGTAATATCCTGTGTCAAATGAAGCATGACGAAATCTTTTAGCTGTTTAAAAATAGCACATCACTCATGTGATTCCAAACATAAAAGACGGGTTAAAAGAAAAGTCAGAGGGAATAGAAATCCAGAGCAGCCAAAGAAGCTCAAAGGGCAGCGAAAGGGGAAAGCAAGGATGTCTACAGCACAAACACCAAGATGGAGGAATTCACTGCCCCTGATATGAGTCTTTCTAAGTCATATCAGTATCAGCGTTTATGTTTGCTGACATAAAAACTTTCATTTTACAGATTTCTTTTAACAGAATTTTAAAAAATGGCTCGATGCTGTTTATTTTGGTCGACATAAGCAATGTCCACACGATATTTAAAACAAAACAAGAAAGCAAACATCTATATGTATTTTATTTATGGTTGTTTCTAACGAGGTATATGATTAAAATGTCAAGCCTCAATTTTCTTTTATTATTTATATCGGTGTATTCCTGATATTGGTATCTGTCCCAAAAAATCCATATCAGTCAGACAGGTTCTAGATCCATAACTACTGTGACATACTAAGAGTGACATGTATTTGTGTTCATGTGCCAGTTTGAAATACATAGTATTATAAGAATGAGACACTAGGAAGAAAAAATTGCCACTTGACATTGCAGAGTAAGAACAGTTCAGCTATAGCCACAGAGGTTTAGGTTCTTACAGGACAAGGTAATTCCTTGTCCTTACATGTAACAGATAGACAAGACAGAGAAGCAGACAGGTGGACAAACAGACACTCAACTATCTTCTAAACTAGCCAGTTTGGTGAGGACAGGTATTACCTTTTGAACATGCCCATTCTGATAAGTGTGGTCATCACTGATCCATCAATCTCACCAAAGAACCTTCCCGCCTATCAGGAGAGAAGCCAGATACACACTGAGTGAAACAGACCAAGAGGTTGAATCTATTAAATTCCTGTGATGATAAACTGACGGAAGGAATATCAACTCCTGTCTTTAATGTTAATTTTGTAAATTTTACACTTACAGTGTAAACAATTATTTGCTTAATTCTGCAAACCAACAAACACAGAGAAAACACAATCTCCTTGGTGAAGGAGTGAGTTCCCTCACAACTCTAAAAAGACAAGAATGTGTGAGTGTGTGTTTGTGTGTAAACTCACGTCATTACGTTGTTTAGAAATCAGGACAAAGCCATTATTGTCAACCAGGTAACAGTCGATATCCTGAGATGAGAAAAGAGACAGAGACAGATTTGAAAGATCTGTGTCAAACACCACTGACAGAGAAATGAAAGGAAGACGAAAGTAATCTGATGATTTCCACCATATGGTACAAACTCATAATTACACCAAGATACATACATTGAATCTTCTGAAAAATATGAAAATGTCTTTAAAAGCAGATCTACTTAAAAATGTATAGGGTTTTTCCCAGGCCCACACCCCATCCCTCCAACAGGTTTAATGCAAATCTGTTGTACAGCACTTATGTGAAAATATAACCTCCTTAGCAGAGGTAATAAGCACAATAATTCATATGAATATTACACAGTTAGATAACAGGGCTTGAATACCCAGATATTACAGCTGTCATAAATGAGCTCAGACTTGATATACTCACAAAGCTGTTACACCGAAGAGGACAAACCCCTTCTACGTCAGAGCACTGGAGGATGCACAGACAACAAGAAAAGAAAGTGTTTTCCATGTGTTTAACCTTTTACTAATTCAGATTTTAAAACAGAGGTGGAAGTGACTGTGGGGGTGATAGGTGTTATTATCTGGGAGGCTATGTTTGTGTATGTGAGGAAATTATTTGAACACATGCTCTGTCTGCGTTGTGTGCGGAGGTGTTAGGGCTTGAACATGCGTCACTTCTGACACATGAGGAAAACTCGTGTGTTAGTGTGAAGGTATTAATTTGCACGTGATATGTCTACCTGAGACGGGTCCTTGTGGGATATTGTTGGCAAGTTTGTGCGTGTTAGATTTCTGCATGTCCATGACTGTGAGTGTGTATGTGTGATTTGTTTCAACTGGGGTGTGAACCCGACTTCATGGAGCTCAGCTGCTGCTAAAAATGTTAAATTTGGTTCCGTGCTATAAGTTGAGTGCTGCTTTGAAGAATGAAGAGAGGGAAAACTGCATACTTACATCTGTGTCATTTGGCTGAGAGGATGCGAAGAGAGGAACAAAGAGACAAAAGAAGAGCATGAAAAAAGAGAGAAACGATACAGCAGTTAATGATGTGCCCCTCCATGCACCGACTACACAAGTCTTCATTCTGACACCTTTGCTTTGCTGGTGACAAAGCTATTCGTCTTCTCAGATAATTTGATTCTAATATAAACTGCAGATAATTTTTTTAATGAATAAAGACTTCCATTGTGGTTTTAACAGTCAAAAGACTGTATCCTTTTTATTCATCTTTTTTACTTGTCCTTTATAAATATAATTGCACTCCACTCCATCAACATCTGTACATTTCTCTGTCCAAAGGTTCAGCTGTTCATCAGTGCACTGGTCATGAGTCAAGGTGTCTATAGATCTCCTCTTGACTTCATGGTCATATTTAATGTCTACAGTTCATGTGGATTATGTTGGATATGGACCACATGTCTTTGGAATCATGGTCAGGCCATATAGAGCGTGTTGACGTGTGAATGAGACAATCTATCATCCTTTTCAATCCTATTACAGCTAAGTGTCGTCTTTCTCTCTGCCTCCCATCACTGCCTCCTGACATAAACAACAGTTCAGTGAGAGCAATGACAGAAACTGGAGGCAAATGGCCTTTTCTGGAAACTATATACATCAGTGCTAATTGTGGAAAGTCAAGCAAGTCTAAAGTGCTGCTACTAAACCTCATGAGTCACAAGGGTCTTTCAGACATGCACTTCAATTTCCAGAGGGGCTGCATGTGAGAACGCAAACGTCAGAGTCAGTTGGTCTGGATATTTTCGTAAGCGAGAGGGTGTGTCAATGACGTTTTTAACATGTGACAGACACGATTTGATAGCTTTTGGTGATAAGGACCAAAGCTGGAAAAAAAGTTAATGTCTCAAAACATTATGTTTTAAATTTTGTGCTGAAGTGGAACTAGAGGAAATGTCTTTTATCTTCTTGGGAGTATTCATTTGTTCAGCAATTTTACTGGAACACGTCCCATTTGATTAGCATTATTGTTTTTGTGCACTATACATATTTTGGTACGTTGAAGCGTACAAAGTGGACAAGGGGGCTGAGGGGAGTGTGAATATGCACAGTGAACTGATTGGAAAATTACTCTTATATAACATACCACTGTGTAAATGGAACATTTTAATTTGGTGGTTGCTCTGGAGAAACACTCAGTTAATCATCAATCATAAAATCAATCATCAATCTCAATTGAATGAACGAATAGATTTTCAGTCCCAATCCAGTTGGTAGATTTTTTTTCGACATGTATGTTAACAACAATCCTACTGAATATCTCAGACACTTTCACCTCCTCCAGTGTCAGATTTATAAACGGAAGAAGCGCATGTGAAGCTGTTCCCTCAGAACCAGTGATGGTAAATGTGTCCTGTCCGGGAGCTCAAGGTGGAGTCAAGCTGATGGCGAGAGCATTAATTATCACTCACACCCTGAACCTCAATGGAACTGTTTCTCTGCAACTGACGATCCTGCTGTCTGCTAACACACACACACACACAGGATTTTGCGAATGCAGAACATACATTTGCATACTGTAGATAACACACTTTATATTCTATTTTTTTTCAAATTATATTCAGCTAAAAAAAGTTTCTGTTATTGCACTAATATACCTTACTGTGGATTTTACAAAGGTTGCAGTTTAGTGCTATGACAAACACAGACACATTATGAGTACAAAGTTATCAAACATGGAATAGAGACAAAGGAAAAGCAGCTGAGTCTCCTCCATGAGATAAAGAGCATGTCAAGAAGTGAAGAGATTCCCATTAGTCTCACTACATCTCCATTCACTGACATAATGTATCAGCAAAGGCATCACAGTCCAGGATTCAGCCTGTATATGTTATATCTAATGTGATGTATGTATGTACAATGTTGTGGGTTCAGATTTAACTAATGCCATACAACATAATGTGTCAGAGCAGACTGCTGCACTGGGATGGCAGAACATTTTCCTATTAACATTCTGACTTGTTCCCATTAGATGAAGGCTCATACTTTATTCTTGCCCTCACTAATTCATAATTCATCTACTAATAACATCTTATTTTAAGGTAGTCAACTTAATACTGTAGCTGCAATGTCAGATGTGACTTCTACGGCTTATGTAACTCCTTCACTGAGCTCTGCAGACTACAGTGCAGGGATCGAGGAAGCTTATTTTGATGTTCTTCATTTAAGATTCAAATATGTTTCTAACAAACATGTAATGATGGAGGAGAGGGAAAATCATAGGATTTTCATATATGCATGAACAGTGCATAAACAGCAATTTCAATGTCTTGCAAAGCCTTTTCTGTAACACAAATGATCTGCAGCAAATCTGCAGGATAAATTAGAAAGCTTAAATTAAGGTAAGACATATATTTATTTTAACACTGCAGTCACACATACTAAATAACAATGAAATGATATGTTTCTTAACCCATTGATGGCTGTGGCTTCAATTGTACCTCCTCTTGGATACAGGTATTTCATTCAGGATTTACAGTAGTTATAGTATCACTGTAGTGAGCTGAAGCCTCAAAATAGACAGTGGATTTCATGCACAAACACATGAGCACACACAGTGAAGACCAGTCCCTAATGTCTGTGCATGCACACAAAAACCATATGAAATAAAGCTACCTGGCAGTGAATATATGACAGGACAATAATACGATTACATAAGCTAACTGAGCAGAAGAGGAAGGGTTGAGGAGAGGAGGTGAGGAGGGAGGACGGGAGTGTAGGAGAGGAGAAGAGTGGGAAAAATGAAAGTCTAGAGGAAAACAAAGGTAATGAGGGAAAGAATTGAGAGGGAGGAGGAGAATAAATTGTGAATTTAGATGGGAGAGAGGAGACGACGGTGCACACAGTAAATGAAAATGAGAAAGACTTTGTATACAGCATAAATCTGGTGGTTAACAATTGCAGACGATGCTAATGAGCTTTTAGTTGATGAATATGGACGTAACAACCCACTTGTGCACAGATGGTCATGCATAAGGCTCCTGTCAACATGACAGACACATACACAGCACTCTATTATTCACACCTTCACAAACACACATAAATATACACAAACACATTTGGGAGCTGCTCAGCCTCACAGTTGTGGCTATCCATCATTTAATGGCTAGCCAGCAGCCTTAATGCCCTTTTAACTGCTGTCATTTACAGCCACGGGAGCAGAGGAGGACAACAGTAGAGCTATCAATCACCCGCTACGGCAAAGGTGTTATGGCAAATTAAGCAAATGTTCTCTTGAAGGTGTGAGAGACCACAAAGGAGACTCAACTGAAAACCATAGCACTGATCGTTTTCTCTTAGTGGCACATAAAATATCCACGGAAAACATGACATTTAATTTTTCAGAATAATGTTTTGGGCAGGGTACGCAGTCTTTCAAAGGTGGGATCGATTGGGAAAACACTGCATTAAGCTTCGAATTCAAAAAAGTTTAAATGTAGTCATTACAACTTAATGGAGCGGAGAAGGAAACTATGAACATCTTTGTCATGAGTAATCTCATGCATCATAGTGAGCTGCTGGTTTTAAGGAATACTGAATGTAAGTATTGAAGAGCTTTTAAAGGGGGCAGGAAAAAGGTTACAGGTAAATAAATGCAGAACAACAATTAAAAACAATAATATGACATACATCACAATGATGAATAAGAAAACAACATAAAACTAATGTGGAAAAACTTGAAGAAATAATGCATTAATAGCAAGGTTTAATTCCCAATTCAAAGTGCTTCCTCATTTATGAGTCATATTTTAAAATACAGATAGACAGCTAAATGCCACTGTTTATGAATTCAAAAGTTGTAAATAATTGACAATTTAGCTAAATGTCAACTGTTGTATTAAAGGGTTGTTTTGTCTTTACTCATCCTTTTTCCAGTGTCACAATTCTCACTGACATATAAAATATGAGGGACTCATTCAGTCAAATGTCCACAACATGAAGTTCTGTCTCTGTAAAATGATAATTGGGTCATGTTGATGCCTGTATGTATTTACCTGTGACGTAATGGACCAGAATGTAGACTCAAACGCCTCAAGAGTCATCTGGACACCGATGGCTGCAGAGAGGGAGAGAGAGAAGGAGAGAGGGGCAAAGAGAGAGAGAGAGAGGTCAATTAGGTACAACAAAATGAACCTGAACATAAAAAATGAATGGATGTAAATGGATCAGGTAAAAGCTGGGATAACCAGGGGGAGGAGTAAGGTAAGTGGAATAAAAAGAGGATGAAATTTGTAAGGGAGGACAGGAAATATAAATAGAGGATGAAATTTGTGTAATAGTTATTTGGGTATTTATAGTTAGGGTGGTGGTTTGGGAGGTGGTTGATGCATTTTTTGCAAAAATTGAAACTAAACACCACTGAGACTATTTTGAATTCTAAGATGCCCCTCACTACGTAAATGTCCCCTGCAAACAATATCTGAAATTGTCATGGCAACGATATGAAGCTGGAAGAAAACAAAGTGTTCTGCCTGTTGTGACACGGCATGATCCTTCCAGTATTATTATTATAATTTTTTGTTGCACTCTCTGTCTTTATATCCATCCTCTATTCTTGGAATTGCACCGTTCATACCGTCCCTCTAATGAAGGTAACAATAAAAGTACTCATATATGCAGGATTGACAAACAACAAAAAGAAAAAACACATATAGTGAGTTCAATATGGTTGTTAAATATGTCATTCTCTATATTATCAACAACAACTTAAAACATTTACATTTACTGTAGAACCAGTGATAACAGCAGTAGCACAAATTGCTATATGCTGTATAATTATTATTAACAACAGCTGTCAAAGACACCACTTCTGTGACACTATTCACAGTTTAAATTCTTGTTTCAATGATTGCTTGACAGAAGTAATGGCTGTAGAGGAAGTAGCAGACGATAAACGGAGAGAGAAACTTTAATTCTAGCAGTTTAGAAGAAAGAACATGAATGAGCCGATTAATGTCCCAGGGTGAGAGACGATATCTCTCTCTCAGCTCTCAGGCTGGAGGAGCAGAAGAGGACTGGCTGTATAGATCAGCTCTGCCTTCACAAGTCAAATTATGAAAATCCTTCTACAGTAACTGACCTTCTGAGCCTCAAAACCGCTGTGTGAACCGACTATTCTTAGACAGTGTGTGTCTGTATTCATGTGTCTATGTGTGTGTGTCCAACCTCTCCATTTCAAAACTTTAAGCCTAGAATTAGTGTGTGTTTTGTATATATTTCAAACGTATGCACATACACACTAGGCGGTGGAGCACTTGCTTGTGTCAGCTTAGGGCTGCACGTCCATCAGCATTCCAGTCCGCCTCGTAATGCAAAAAGAAACGGTAATTGCATAAGTTCTCAGAGCACACATACTGTATATGCCCACACCGACAAAAAATACACACATACTGCGAGGGAAGATATGACACTTCATATTACCATCAAAGATTCTGCCTTTTTTCTCCCAGTTTGCTTTTTACAGCCATTCAGGGACAGCCTCAGAATACACAGAGCACATATAAATACACACACACACACACACCAGCATGTACTGTAATAATACAATAGAATAATTACTGTAATGGAGTCAGGTGGCAAAAGGCTTTATTAGGACTGGGATTAGTTTATGAGTGGGTAATTGTGCTCAGTCTGGTTTCATGGGGAAAGAGGAAGAGTGAGGGACATTGGAAGAGTAAGAAAAAAAGAGAGAGCAGAGTCAACGGGATGGACAAATGTTTTTTTGGGTTAAAATATTTAGGGTTGGAATAAGGTCATTGTGCTATTGTCAGACCAAAAACAACGGCGTCAAACTATTTTGGAAATACTGAGGTCATGATTTAAAAAAATTTGACAATCAAACCTTGCATTTACAGTTGTATTAATTAAAACAAATAATTTCACATTTTCTTATTTCTTAACTTAACATCTACTCCTACAAATCTCACTACACCATGGATGGAAGAAAATACAAATTCATTTATCTTATAATTTATTTGCTTAATTTGTTACATTCTTCTTATTATTATTATCATTATTTAGTTTTTAAGGCCTAAGTAGTTATTGTCATAGTATGTAGAATGTAAACTCATTATTTCATCCACTGGCATTAGAGGATAAAACCTGCACAATAGCAGCCGTAGCCTTGTAAAACATGCTGCTTTATTTTAGGAATTTGAATCTGCTTCCATTCAGTCATTAGTTTCTATTCACTTCTATAAGAAATTTATTGAGTAGACTCATGACTCATTTCAACATCATGTCTTCATTAATTTTAGTTTTTTGCACAAGTTACATTCCAGCTGTGAGGAGGTAAAAGAAAAGCCTGCCTGAAGCTGACGGCAGATTGACAGGCTGAACATAAGTCACTCAATTATGCTTGTGAAATGCTATTAGGTGATGAATTATCAATTACTGTGGGCAAGAATAAACTGTGAACTATGTGTTCTCGTCGTATCAGGGAAAAAGCTCTTACATGTTCTGTCAGTGTTTCAGTTAGTGGGTGAGTGTGCACGTGTTTCTTGGATTCTGTCCAATATCTCATAAATCATTTGAGATGCTGAATCATGGCTGTAATCAGGCAGCTACACAGATAGTTTGTTAAGCTAATTGGGCAATTGTTTATTTCATCATACAGCTAATGTGAATTCATGTTCAAAATTATCCAAATTGTTGAAATCTATAGACAGAAAACAAGAAATGTGTTGGGTTAGATGTTAGACATTTGCAGATGTGATCAACCAATCTCTCACACAGGGGAAAAAAAACAAGTAAGGATGCCAGATCAGTGTCCTTACTTTTGTTCTAAAGCATGCGTGACTTTCATGGTGACATTCGACATGTGATTTTTTTTGTTTGGGTATTTGAACACTCCCACACACTCACACCCCCACCTCACTTGTGCTGGTGACCTTGAAGTCGTCTCCCTCCACCATAATCTCAGATAAAGTGTTGGGAGGCCATTATGGAGGGCAGCAGTAATCTGCCTTCTCTCACTTTCTGCGGCGGACAGGCCAAATCTAATTAAAACCATCACACTGATCCCTCAGTATGTGTGTGTGTGTGTGTTGTAACTGTTTTTTCCCTAAAGTGTGAATAGCACTTGTGTACAGAAGGATATGCATGACTTTGTGTGCATGCAAGTGAAAATGTATGCGCTCACAAGCTTCAACATGTGTGTGCTTATGCGAGAGCGTATCTTGCACACTCACAGTCTGTGTTGCAATTAGTGTGAGCTGCCAATCACAGTGGAGTGCGCTTTCAAAAGGAAATGAATTAATGAAGAAATAAATAAAAAATTTCACCAACCAAGAGCCGCAGTTAATTGGTTATTACGTTAACGAGATAGGGGGATGAGAGACGGAGGGATGTGAACTGTGAATGACGGGGAAATGAATATGTGAGAAAGGAGACTGGAACAAGGGTAAACAGGCGCACAGTCTCACTGCTTTCTTGCCTCAGTATTGTACCCAACAGAATAAACATGTTTACACTGTGTGTGTGTTGTAGAGCGAGACAAGTAGGAAGACTGACACAAAGATGGACAGGTAGGACAGAGGGCTGGGTATCGCCTCTGATTTCCTGAATTGATTCATGAACTGTGCAAGGAAATCTCTGACTTGGTGCATTATTTAATATAGTAAAGTGGGCTCTCAGTGAGCCAATAAGAATGCAGCATAGAATAATTATGATGTTGATTAATTAAAATTATTGCATATAAATGCAGTCAGAATGCACCTTCAAAGCCTCAAAATAATGGTTGATTCGTTTATTCTGTTAAGCAGATGTGTGTGGCAATTCCACCATCCCATTTAAATAATGTAGCACTGTCGACCGAAAACAACCCATTTATTTATATATAACTTTTAGGAGACAGGGCTGCATAGCTGCGTCACTAAAGAAAGTGGGAGTCTGTCTGTCCATCATCTATCCATCTATCTATCCATCCATCTATCCATCTAGGAACAGAGAGTGGTGACTGTGCATATCTATATATAGTAGGTGCATGTGTGTTTTCATAACTTGTTGTGTTAAATGACCAGTGAGGAGAGCTACTGCTGATGGTAGCATGACCCTGGAGACAAGGCTAAATATATACGTAAGTATATATAACAAACACACACACACACACACAAACAAATATTGCGGAAATTACATACACCTTTAATTCATTTCCTGGATTCTTACCCTTGACGTCAACCACTGACCCAGAAATCAGCTTTTGTCCCCTAAATGGTCTTTAGTCAGAGATTTGTCCCCAAACGCAGCCAAACACATGACAGACACGCACCACAGGAACAGACCCAATAAATTAAACTGACACAGTGGCTAACTCTCTGGGCACAGATGGGACACTGAAAATAAGGCCACGAGTGAGGAGGTCATTTCAATTTTTTTCGGTCTCTTACAGACACACACACAGACACACAGACACACACAGACACACACACACACACACACACACACACACACACACACACTGACACATGCACACAAAGAGGGAGGAAGAAAGTCCAAAATAAAAAAAAACACACACTAACACATACATGACCCTAAAAGAAATTAGTATGTGCTGCAGGAAGGAGACACACACACAACCCCCCCCAAAAAAACACAAATACACAGACAAAAAGGTCATCGACAGAGAGCAGACGCTGAAAGGTACAGATATAATTGATATAATGGAATCAGGTGGCCCAGGTGGTGGTAGAATGATGGAGGGATGAAGAGGGACAAAAGGGAAGATGGGAAAGGAGTAAGACAAAAGGCAGAAGGGATGGAAGAAAATGAATAGATTTTTAATAATGTTATGAGTTGGAAAACCCTTTTCATTTCTACCAAGTGTGGCAATTAATAATAGAGGAAGATCAAATGACTGTGTGTGAGCGTACATGAAAGTGTGTGTTTCTAATTCTTTCTCACTTGAGCACATGTACGTGTAGAGTGACCTCAGAGAGACGTTCACACCAGACATATGTCTGAGCAGTAGCAGCTCTCTTGGAGGAATGGTCTAGAACTCCTGAACTCCAGCAAGTCTGATCTGCAGCTACAGAAAATGGGCTCAATGAATGTTTAATC